GTCAACTGATCGGCTTCGAGTACCGACTCGTCGATCAACTCGTATCAATGACCGCAAGCTTGCAATCGAACAACCAGTCGATCTAACCGTTGCAGCCCCAGCTAAGAAGCGAGCCCGAAGAGCGGGAAATACGAAGATCCCTCTCCCTCTAAGTCAGCTTCGCCGCTCTCCGCGCTTCTTGAAGCCGCTCACCGAGTTCCACAAGTATCCCGACCTACCAAGAGAGCTGCAAATCATGGTGTGGGAGGCTGCTATCGAGGCACGCCTCGTGTACATCTGCAACCGAACTTCTGCCGCATCTAGCATCGTTCCATTCGGGGTGCAGAATAAGCTGCCGACCTGGTTCATGACGTGCAGCACATCGGTTTGGGTCGCACGACTCCACTATCAGAAGTTATTTGCGCTCCATAGCCGACCTATCCCCCCTCTGAACATCACGATGATAGATCTCACGACGATTCAGGACGTCAGTCCCAACAATGACATCGTAATCTTCGAGCCATGTCATAATGGTTGCCGCGGATACCATTGTGCTCGACACCAGTACTGCGACACCGATCGTTCCGCCGTCCGTTTCTTGGCTGTCCAAACAGAGTCGCCCAGCCTACCCCCTACGGCGGATCCGTGCTGGGAGACCGTGACGCGATCCTGGCCGAACGTGGAGACTCTTTATCTAATGCGGGTCGCCGTTAAAGGCGTCGACAAGCGTGACAAGGCGATGATCCGTGTCAAGTGCAACGCCCATGAGACTACACTGCTGACTCGATTCGAGCAGTGGAAGAAAGAGCTCGGAGCAGACGCCAAGTTAACTAAGCTAGACTTCGTTGTGGTGGTAGAGAAAGAGAGCACAATCATGGGCCCTTATCAGTCGGTTGCCGACCGAAAAACTGGGCAACCTGAAGATATCATCCTTGATTAACGATCAGAGAAGCAACATCGCAGACATCGGATCGGAACACTTGCTGTCATATCATGAAGCCGACCACCTTCACAGATGCCACATATTTTATAGCTTCATCGGATTACTCTTCTATACTTACCTCCCTATGAACCCAACACGAAAGACTCATAGCCACGACTTAGGCCATCTTCAGTTTAATCGCTACAGACTAGTCGTTTCACTCAGACATCCGACACCCAGAAACTTTGCAACAGTGATGGGACTTCTTTTCTTTTTCTTTTTGGAATTTGCATGGTTCGGAATCATGACGATGGCCCAAAGCAACTCAGGATTTCCCCATGGTGTGCTAGCCTACACCTTTTTATCTCCTTTCAATGCCTATTTCTGGTGCTAATTCCCTGGCGTCTAGGCACTAGGACAATGCTTGTCTATCTACGCCCCTACCTTAGTTCTACCAAACCCTTTTGGCATCATTCTTGATGCGCGGGTGGGAGGGCGGTGATTCAATAACGGTTGGGTCATCATCTCACGAGAGATCATGTCTATGTGGCCGTGGTCAGCCCATCTCGTCGAAACGGCCACGCCTATGTCCCTCCACCGTAACAGCACAATCCCCCTTTATTTCTCATCATATTCAGATATATTCCGTCGTCGGCAAGGAGTCTACTTCTTACTATATTTACAACTACGCCCATGCGTGAGTTGAAACCAGCTCTCCGCCCTTTTTCCTCTCAGAGGGAACCAGAACGCTGTGAATTCAGTAACGGCGATACTGCAACCAAAATCGACAAGGGAGCTATACCAAGGCAGATCTCGCATTGATACTCCGGTTATTACTCGTATGTACCTACCTATATACGAATTTAAGTTAGGTTGAAACTAACGCTTACTTAGGAGAAGAAAAGGCCTAAGCCACATGGCCGGGCCTACACAAGGTACCTACACATCGTCCATTACAGCTCCTCCTCGATTAATTGGCCTAAAACTCCATCAAGTTATTCGTTAGCTGATGGGGTTCTCCTAGGAGCACATAAACGACAACAAACATCTCTATAGCATTTCTCATTTGCTATTATCTAGTACATTTGTGCTACTAAGGATCTACGACAGCCTGATAAAGGACTACTCGACGCCCATTGATTTGCTTCGACCAAGACTCACCGGTGGATCTATGAGACATCTAGGTCGAATCAATGGCATTTGCAATAGTCAAAATGTGCCGCTTCTGCATCTACGCGGATATGACGGTCACGGTCGTGCCTTGAACATAATCCATCTAAGGAATCCAACTTAACCCATGCCCTTTCCAAACGAAGTTGAAATAAGCTGGGATTAACAACGTTTTTCGGACGAGAAGAATATGTTTGAGAGCTGGGTTTTCTTCGCAATGAACCTTCTGAACGATATCGTGAGCAGACTCCATGGCATCAAGAAACGTTAGTTGTTGAAGTGTCCGATCCAAATACTCGTGAAATATCACCAGCCATTGGGAGGTCTCATTCGGAAAGACGATCAATACATCTCTCGCACTACTAGGTAGCTCAGCCTCAGGGCCAGGTTGTTCGCTAAACAAGGCTATTATGCCGTTATCGGATCAGACAACCGCCGAATTTGACATCCTGTGACTTCAAGGTTTCCTTCTTCTAATCCTTCACTTGCCGCCGTCCATATGACCACTAAGTAATTTGCCTTATAACGTAATGACTCAAGTAAACTACCTAAGGTACGATATGTCGCCTGCCCCCTCACGCCTATCATCATCGTACATGACTGGCCCTTCAATTATACGCTGTCGTAAGTAATTTCTCCGTTGGCACATTTTCTCGGTACGATCATGATTCACAGCCGTATGGGTCGCTATATTATTTGGTAGGCAATACAGCCTGACTCACCAACGCCGTCAGACTATGGCTCTCGACGCCAAGGGTGATAAATCTTTATAAATGAGAGACGCACGCCCCATGAGGAGAATACCACAAGATATGCACCTAGCTCCCCTACCGGAAACTGGGACAGGAATCATTTTTTGCAACAACTAAGGCGAGCTCGGGAGTGGCGCCAACTTGTTACTTAACAGTATCGTTTACGTTATCCTTACGGGACATCTAAACCATTACCGTAAGCATTGTCGTCCGAGCACGAAGTACTATGATCCTAAGAAGACGCATAGAAGTGAAAATATGCCAAGAACACAACCCCGAGGGCGATAATCCAATCACCGATAGTTCGATATAGCGAATACGTTGGAGGTCTAGCCTAAGACAGGATAGATAAAGGGGTCCTCCCTATATGTATAACCGCAGTCTCTGGCATATATATTGAGAGCACCTCGCGAAGCAACGTTGTTTCTATTCCCCCTTTATTGGCCTATATCTTAGTATCGATTTTGGAATTGACGGCCGAGGAAATGCGTAGAGAAAGGAACACATAGCTAAGAACTCGCTAGCTACCTATCGCCGATCTTATTACTAATATAGATGTCCAACATACTGTATAGGGGTATCGTGGTAGAATACGATTGTCTAGAAATAGAGGTTGGGAGGGGGTAGGCATGGGTTATGGTATACGGGGCGTCGCATAGCTTGCGGAATGAATTACCTGATACGTATTAGTATCTCGTTTTTGCCCTACGACCCCTCAAGGCGAACGTCTAAGCATTGGGTTGCTATATGCTCCCAACTATATGATCAGGGGCGGACTTATCTCCTTAAACGTCGTTTAGGAAGAAGCTGAGGTAGAAAGTGATTATACCTGTATGTTCTAGGTTTTGTCGAGATCCTTGGAATAAGGTCGTCGCCGTCGACCTAATGCTTGTTGCTAGGCAGCGTATTTAGCACAAGAGGCTAATATTCGATTTTGATAACGTAGATATAGTCTTCGTCGAATGAAATCAACTTGGGTCTCTCCTCCGACCTTATTATATCTCATTGAATAGAGTTGTATATTTCGTCAGGCTCCGGTCTAGAGGTGGCATACGATGGCCGTGGGAGGTAGTTAGCTGGACGTATAGGAGACGGCGATAGTGTCTATAATGGTCGAAGAGATGCGGGCTTGCGTAGGCAGTTTTCTGGCAGTATGGATCTGAGCCGAAACGTTTCTGGTGTTTCGATGAATTGGTCCCTTGGCGATGAACTAAATAGGTCTCCGTTAGCTGTGACTATATTAGATTGATAGGGGAATATCAGGTGCGTAAGAGACGGTCGAATATTGATATAAAATGCTGTAAATCAGCTTATCAGGGACCTTAACTAGATCTAAGCGGACTAAATCGCTGGTATTAGGAACTTATAATGTTTCGAATGCATCAATATATCTGTAATAGGGGCTTCTGTAAATCCAAGGCTTATTTCAAACATTGCCATAAAATCAAATTTAGGGAGGGATGTTAGGATTAGGTCGGGGTTAGGCCAAGTTCATGAACAAGGACTATATCGAATATATTCAGAGTGATGAGTAAACCTTTCAAGGTTCGAGTGTGGATATTCAAGGCTTTTATCGACCTCATAACGCGGCCTTGTTGCCCTCGACATCGCGGCCGATATTCGAGCGTCGGCCAGTAAGAAGAGAAAGTAATAATGTCTTTTCTTGATAAGTCCTCGTGAAAAAGTCTCTTCCTCTGTTTAAGTTGGCGGCGATAGTGATGAATAACGTACTTAACCAAAAGGCTTATTTGTCTTTAAGAGACTTCATGGCGTCGGCGTCTTTACCACTCAATAGAGCGTTAAAGTATCTAGGTAGTTACTTTAACACTCATCAGGCCTATAAGCATGTTAACGCTTCATGGAGTTAACTCATCAATGGAAGTGTCGGCGAAATCACCTAAGGACGGAAGTTTCAAACCATAACGCCGACTGAGTGGAATAGATAGTGATCATGTCGTATGGCCTAACAAGACATCATATAAGCAGTTCTTCTCACATGAATTAATAGATAATTAAGCTTATGCATTTTCTAACTAACGGCCATGAAGACTTTCTCGAACTATCAACTGAAAGCAACTCAGACGCTGGCTGTATTGTTGAATGTTTAGTCCGCTCTACGCACACATTTCTTTAAGTAAAGAGTTACGAAAGAACTAGGATCATAAGACAACCAAATAGGCTCTGTGGTCTAGTGGTAGGATTCTTCTTTCGGGTCGCCAATGTTCATCCCGCCTCTCTTCAGAGAGACGAGTATAGAAGAGGTCCCGGGTTCGAATCCCGGCAGAGCCCAGTTTCTTTCCTCAGTTTGTTGAATTATTTTTGTCAGTGGGTCAACAAACCCCAGGAACGAAAGCGTGGTAGGGTAAGTCGTGTCTTTTCATTATCGCTTAGCCAATTGAGGCCTACTACGCTGTTTATGATGATCCACCGTCCGATTTTGAATTAACTAACCCCTGGTTTAATGCTCGGTTAAGCCCAATTCTTCCCTTGCACCCACATTGTCCACCAATTCGAAATCTAGGTGCCTCCTAGGTAGATAATACAGTACTAGTGGCGGGTAACTTAACAAGGTTACCTAGTAGTTCCAAAGCCACATGCCACCTCAGTGAAATTAACAAACGGCGAAGACAATCGAAAAGCATACCTACGTGGGGATCCAATCGACAATGATGTATAACAAACGCTTTGACGCTATTCCTCTATCAGGGGACTTGCCTCTATCGTGCGAAGTGAATGGGAGCTTGGAGGGGTTGGTGCTTGGGAAGTTGATTGATTACGAAGAGATGTAGTTTAGTTAGGTGGTTTAGACGGCTTTCTCGAGCAGTAAAGATATGGATATTGTGTTTGAACCAATTTAGAGCAGATATCTCCTCAGGGTTAATATAGGAGGGAACGTGGACCTATTTCGTCGTGCCTTCAGGGTTACCGTAAAGAGGTTAGAATTTTGGCGTAATTAGGAGAAGTTTCATCACGAGTGGTGGGCTGAAACGAGTTGAATTTGTTGCCGTGATTATTCCTATCGACAAAGAGATATTTGAGGCTAGGCAGCTTCTTGAATGATATACAGCTATCCAGAAAGGGTTGTTCCCCGTATACACTCCTATGACCTATCTCTTACCCGTGGTGATACTCCGAGAAGGGTCTTCTGTTCTATTACTTCCTGTCATATACCATGTTAGTCATTGAGCATGTACACTATTATTTTGTGGCATTACCATATCAAACTTGCTACTGCCATCATAGCTATTGTGTTCAATAGCCATCTTCGGTGGAGTATATGTCTCGGCTGTGGGCTGCTGGTACTGGGACGAGTGTGTCGGAGTCATCTTGTTGAGAGAGTTCTGGACAGCCTTCCGCTGCCTATCGACTTCAACGCAATCGCGGACAAATAAGACGAAGTGTATCAGCCTTCTAAGTGTTAGCCGACCCAAGGAGATGATCGGCGATAGTGGAAGTGCTGGTACTTACGATAAAACTATGGTAAGGGTACTAGCAGCAACATACATGCTAAACTGGAAATATGGGTTGGAAATATAATTAGTAGATACGAGAGTGGAGTACCACCCATCCCTATCATCGCCGGCATAAAATGCGCGCCATGGCCATGAATGGATCGCTGTGCCGACAAGGAGAGCGGTCATGGCGAAGCCGGCGAAGGAAAGGACGAGCTCGAACCCGAGAGAAATGGCCGGACGGATGCCTGACTTTCGCTTTCTCGCGCACATCACGATGAACTCGGCGATGTCGTAGGAGACCGTCCCTGCGCCCTATCAAACCACATTTTAATATGATATACCTAGCTTCGTGTCGAATTGGAGCCTAACCATTGCTGTCCCTATGATGGTGTACGAGCCGAACCATATGGGATCGACAAACCCTATGATCGATATAGCGAGGAGAGGGATGCCCAAGACAATGGATGCAATTCGTAGCACGAACTTTGCGGTGTCCCATGCGGCCTGGTGTGCTGAACGCCAAGACTCTGTTCCTTCTGCCATGGTACGATAGGTGTTTGGTTTTGTAGATTCAATTTCTATGAGTGACGGCGACCGGCTCCGATTAGAAGGCATCGTATGAGATCAAATAGAAATAGATGTTCATGTCGTTTACTTGAACTACTGGCCTTATTCAAGCGCGACTCAGGACTCTAAATGTATAACAACGTGTGTGGTTACACACTGTGTCGATCAACGTCGAATGATGCTCATAGGCGGTTTCTAAATAGGAATACGAGATACCAACGAGAATGATCTGCGATTCGCGGACCCGAAGGGTGTGGTGGCTGACAGAAGATCCCCCCTGAAGTCTGAAGAGTCCCCATTGCCTTGTAGATCTGATCTGCTGATTGGCAACGATCCCATATTCCATACACTTCGAATCTTTAATCTTCATAATGTTGCCAAGACGTCGCGGTGGTAGTGTTCCTGCGCTACTACAATCATCCTTGGTGTATCCTCAATATCCATTGGCATAAATGGTGGTGGTTTGTCGCAGAAAGAGTGTGATGCTGGTTTGCGACGGTGACATTGTTAATGGCTGAAACGGCGAAACTGGGATTCGGGACTGCTGCCTAGAAATGCGGGAATTGTGGAATACGAGCTGCAGAGCCGGCGGCCTTGTTGGGACCTACTGTCAGTCTCTCCGGCATTGTGATTCTCCTGGTATTACTCAAGGTACTCCGAGCAATCGGGTGTCCGTATTCCAGCCGGCCGATACCGCCGCCTGGGGTTGATCAATTGATCGACCGATTGTCTTGACAATACATACCTATCTAGGAGTTTGGAGAACATGTAAAATTTAGGAGATAGGCTCAGTTCCGTACATCCCTACGAAGGATTTATAAACGCAGGTTGAATGGATACTGCGCTGTGACAAGAGGATGGGCACCATTGCACCCACCTGTCCTTGCAATATTTAGGTAGGAAGGGACGAGATTCAATTAATCAATTTATAGAGGCGCTAGATAATAATACTACTAGTAAAGTGCAAAAAGAAAATCTTCTGCCCCCACACCGGATTGAACGATGGACCTCAACATTAACTCGCAGAATTGTACAAGTGTTGCGCTCTACCACTGAGCTATAAGGGCTTGCGAATTTCAGAGATTAAACTACTCTAAGACCTGTAAAACCACATCACGTGTTAGACTGGGTCAACAATCCCTTGCTAACGACCACTAACCACATATAAAATCAACAATGCATGAATACAACGGAGAGCGAGCGTCTTCTCTAGATCTAATCATGGTCGTTTGAATCTCATAGTGTCAGATCTCGAGAGTAATCATCAATCGAGCTGAACCTCGTTCACATATTTAACTATATAGATCCTCCCCGTTTTCTCTGGTTCCGCTAAGAGCTAGGTAGATCCATCGAGTCTCTCGAGGTGGCAGCTCTGGAAAATCTATGGAGACTTCATAAGACCATTATCACCATTCGGCGAAGTATACCTTATCTAACCACGTAAGTTGTCATACTAGTAGACTTTTTTATGACCGTGGGTGTAAAAGCACAGCTCAAATGGTGAAGACAGAAAGGTGCACCGCGTTGGGCACCTAAGTAATACTCTCGCAGTTGAATACCTAGGTAGGTATTTAAGTATGCAGCGCAAAATTCATAATGCAGACCCTGCTGATATGAGAGCTATGCCGGGTGGGACGCATCGTGACCTGATATTACAGACCTTCCCATTTATCTTGGTTGATCCTCCCTAACGTGGTGCAGACTGAATCTATGCCAGTAGAATCGGCCTGAGACGCAAAGTTATGGCGTGTAGGTTCCAGGCTGGTATCGCAACCTCGCAACTAGTACTAAGATTGCAATGCAACTCCGTAACTGTGTCAAGTATCGCGGGACGTATCTGCCGCATCCACGTGTAGTCGAGGACCGAACAATACAATACCATCATTCGCAAGGATAGTTGCCACGTGCCATATCCATCCCGAGTGTTCTGCGTAATATTCCCCTTATTTGGGAACACACCCTAGCTTCATACTGCTGAGATCCTGTATCTTCCGAGACTTCGCTCATCGACATCCCAGAACCCCCTATATTCATTTAAATATGCGGCGCCCTCCAGCCTTCGCGGCAAATCTCTCGGTTCCGTTCTGGGTTTGCTGGTTCCAGTGCATCAAGCTGCCCAACGCTCCTCCGTCCTCGGCGGCGGCCTTGCGACGTCTGTACGCCTCTCGAAGATGATCGGGTCGTAAGGGGGCGTGGCGATGGTAGCCTGATAGCTCGTCCGTAGGCTCTAGTTCGTCGTTGGGTAAATCGGTTTGCTTCTCCCCAAGGTGAATCCATTCCTCTTGAACTCTGCGTGCTTCCTCGACGATGTCCCCGAGGAACGTCTTGCACACCACTTGCATCATCTGATGAACGGTGGGAGGGCATGATTGCGAAGTGATGCTATTGATAAACTATTGGAAATGGTTAACCACATCCTAATCAAAGGTGGCTGTGACACGGGGCACGATAACTTACTCTTCTGACTTCGCTAGTCTTGAGGGTCTGACGATGCCAGACCTCGTAGCGGGAGAATTGCTCGGGGTCCATCCTCGACTTCAGGAGCCCGACAAGCGCCTTTTCTCGCTCGATCTGCTCCTTGCTACGTGCTGCGGACTTGCTGGCCATATCCTCTGGGATCTCAAAATCTTCTTCCTTTCTAGCGTCGTCATCAGCGTCCTTGCCAGCATTGTGACCGCTAACATTGCTCATCACGGTTGTGGCGCGACCTCCTGCCACTCTTGGCGACCCGTCTCGCATAGCTTCGGCGGCCGCCTCGTTCGCACGCTCCGCCTTCGACTTCCTACCTCGCTTCTTCTTCGTAGGAGCGCCGCTCACCTGGCTGCCACTAACGAGACTCATGTTATCGACGCTCGGAGATCGTCGATACGACGGCGAGAAGTTCTGGGATTGAGATTCATCCGGTGGGAAGGATGTCTGTCGAAGAGGGTGAGCCGAGCCCGCGGAGGCGACGGACATGGTAGACGCCTTGCGTCGCTTGAGCGAAGGTGCCTGCACTGAAAGATCAGCGCTCGTGGAGCCGCGCTTCTTGGAGGGAAGCTGCGCGCTAGAATAGGGTGGAGACCCTGCGGGCGAGTAGGCGCGCGGAGGAGACGCCATTTCGTCAGGGAGCGCCTAGTTTAGTGAAGTCGACCCAAGGGTCCCAAATGCTGCAATGGTCTCAGACTAGGGAGTTGTCAGGACGTCTTGTCGTAGTCAGTTTGGAATTGAAGACGCGAATAGAATGATAGAGCAAGTCACAATCTACCAGATGCGCAGGGTACGTGGCAGATGTAGAGGGAATCGTTAGATGAGAGGTGTGAGGGTGTACTCGGAAGTGATAAAAGACGGGTTGTGGTGAAGAAGCTGGGAGGTAGGGGATGACGTGAAATTGGAAAGCCTAAGCTCCAAGCAGTTATTCTGCCGGGCTAACTGTAGCCCTACATAATACACCGCCTTTGCAGTCCATGGTCCATGGATCGGGCTGACAAGAGCAGTTACCCCGCGGACTTTCAGAAGAGCCTATCAGCCCCGATAACGGGCATTGTTTTCGGATAGATGTAACTAAAAATTGAATTTTACAAGCTTACGGATTACAGTTTAGAGCTTGCATACTAGTTTTCAAGGGTCCAAACTTTCAGGTTCTTTATTTGTGATGCAGCTTGGACCTATGTTTGTATTTCTCTGTTTTCCTACATGTGTATAAGTACCTAGACCCTGCACATGTGCTCCAGCTAATTCAATTGATTGGAGTTTCAAGTCTCAGTTTTTCCGTTCCTCCTACTTGATCACTTGCATCGATCAGTGACGAAATATCACACAACACCCCGCCAACATCCAAGCCTTATGCGCCACTTCCTATCACAACCTTGCGCCAACTGATATTTTGGCCAAGAAGAGCAGAATGGTACAGTTCGCCGACCCCAAACCTGGCGACCAAGAGCCGGCATCGCTTTATCCTTCTGGTAGCTCTACTACGGGTGTTTCCGATGTCGATGACTCTGCCAACGGTAACCAGACGCGAGGACGGGACGAAGGTCACCACGACAAGAGAGCAAGCAAGAAGAAGAAAAGAAGAAGGGCAAAGGATGGTGGAATATCCGAGATCAATGGACACACTGACTCGTTTAAGAGGAGGAATAGCATAAGCAAAGCTGCGCGAGATCCTAGAGATGAGCCGCCACGCAAGAAGAAGAAGAAGAAGGCCAAGGTCGAGGCTGAGGACACAGGCACAAGGTCGCCCAGCCCAGTCATCGACTTCGATGGCTTGAGCCGACCGAGTACGTCGAGTGATTATTTCGGTTAGATGCTTCTACTAACACAGTCCAGGTCGGGGAACCCGAGAGCGACTTGAAGAAAGCACCGAACAAGCAGCTGAGAGACTCGAGAGAATGCGAGCAGCTATTCGAACCATCCTTGAATGCATCGGCGAAGACCCAGACCGTGAGGGTGTAGTGGATACGCCGACAAGATATGCGAGGGCGATGTTGTTCTTCACGAAGGGATACCAGCAGAATGTCAGAGATATTGTCAACAACGCTATCTTCCACGAGAACCATAATGAGATGGTCATCGTGAAGGATATTGAGATATTCAGCCTCTGCGAGCATCACCTGGTTCCCTTCACCGGGAAGGTTAGTTGTTTTCGGTCTACATTTTTGCTTCCTTTTCTAATCTTGCATCAGATGCACATTGGATACATCCCAAATAACAACGTCATCGGCATATCCAAGCTGCCGCGCATTGCGGAGATGTTCAGCCGTCGGCTACAAGTTCAAGAGCGGTTAACGAGAGAAGTCGCCAACGCCATCATGGAGGTTCTAAAGCCTCAGGGAGTGGCAGTAGTCATGGAGTCGAGTCATCTCTGCATGGTCATGCGAGGTGTCGAAAAGACGACAACCAGCACGATTACCAGCTGCGTACTTGGCTGTTTCGAAAGAAAGGAAAAGACCCGGAACGAATTCCTGAGTCTCGTGGGTCTGAACAGAGGATTCAGGTAGAATCTAAACAAGACAGCATGATGGATTCGACGCATATGGGTGCATACAGGGCGTTTTGGGTCTGGAGCATGGGATTTCAACATCAAGCTCATCATTGAGAACGGGAAGGCAAATTCATTGGACACTAGAGTCGGGAGGCTCAACGCCTCTGCAAAGAGGCAGTATGCGGCGTTTACTGGTTGGAAAATTGCTCTTCAACACTTACTTCATGTAACATCAACTGCACCATAAAATCAATCGTTGCTGACTTTCAGATAATGGCCGTTCTCTAGTCATCACTAGCCTTCCGCATAACGTAATGTTTCATGTACGAGGTGTGCCTCAGAGACTCGATTTCCTCATATGCAAAGACGATATTTCGGAATGAGCTGTATTAACATCTCTCATTATCTCGTGCAGTTTCATGTGTTTGATTTCCAGCGTGCTTCCATCAACGCGGTTATGGCCTAAATAACATCGGAGCGAACGTGATTTAAATCGACATTCAGCTTCCTTGAACAATAGGTACAGACCAACCTATAAAATACGCAGATACATACAATCCTTCTCGCCATCCAAAGGGCAATCTGCGGGTATCTATGCAAACATCGAATAGCTTGACAAAATCAGAGTACCCTCCCACGCCTACTCTTTTGGGCCAATTTCCGTCTAGCAGCCAATAATATTCTTTCATCTCAAGCCGCGCCGTGACAAAACCCGAGATAGCCCTAGCCTCAAACGACATCAAGGTAGCACGGTAGCTACCTGATCTAACCACCACGATTTTGCGTCCTTTTAACTTGCGATCAGGAAGCAGGTTAGCTTTAAGGATCACTTGTTTAATAGGAACTTTTCCTGCAATCCAAATATCACTATGAAAGAATGTACCAGAAATATTCAGGGATATCTCATACCATGCGTTGCTAGTCGTTGTATGCTGGATGCCCTACAGGAGAGAGAAGCTGTAGTGAAAGCATTGATAATACCAATGTCTAAATCCGCGTTATTTCCGCTAAGAGCGGAATCCCCTCCACACCATCTCACAGTCCGCTATAGTTTACAATCTAAGAAAGGCAATCACGCCAAAATCGTGAAGGTGACGAATATGT